ATGATTAGAAATGATTAGGTAAAATAGTACTTAAATAATATGATATAAAAATATATGTAATATCAGATACTGCACACATAAAAACTGAAATGAAACAAAAATATATAAATGAAAACTTCAATGCATCACCTAATAAAATATATTAAGTAACTTCAGAAATAAAATTAATAATGATGGATTACTAATTTAATAACACTTACAGTGTTTAAGAATACGAAGGCAAACATAATAGGTATACATGAGCAATTAATACCTAATTTAATTCAACATTAGTAATACCAAGCATTTATTTCAATAAACAATGTAAAATAACATTAAAATTAACATGAACTTAGCAAGCATTTTTGCTCCTCGACAGCACATGCAAACATTCTTCTCTGTATCACATAGCAAAGCAATGGCTTCCCATTTGGGAATACAAACCTCAAGAACAACATAATGTGGCCCTGCTAAACTTTGATATAATACTTGTTTCTGCAGTTTCTCCAACAGCTTTATATATTTAAGAGAAACTGCAAGATGGTGGTTGAGCCTTTTCTTAATTTTTGAGTGAAATTGTAATTTCAGTTGAGCCCCAAATAATGAGTCCAGTATTTTATTTTATTTTTAACTGGTTTATTGTTAATTTAATAGTTTAATTTATCTGTTTACATTTTATTGAATTTTAATTATAATTACAGTTAAAAGTCATTAATCCGGACTCGTCGGGACTTCGGCGATTCCGGATTATAGATCATCAGTTTAAATCTGGTAAGGTGGCATGCAGAAATTACAAAATTAAAAATATGAAACCGTAATTTATGAAATAAAGAACAATTATGATCTAAAAGGTATCAAAATTTACAAAAAGAAAAAGCTTAATATTTATTTGTTTACTTTATTAAACATTTCTTTCAATGTAAGTTGTTTAAGTTGCTTCGTCTTATGTGATAATACTTTCTCTTTAATTCTATAAACAGATATAATTTCTTCTTCAGTTACAAAATTCCACTGTTCAAGTCCTATAATTGCTGTGTCGAGAAAACCGACTAATTTGTCAAATCGAAATTTTTTCGCTTTCAATAACCTCTGTGTCACTTTCTACACTATCGGAAGCGAATTATAATGAGGATGTATTTGATTTAAATCATATCAAAGACGAGGTACATCGAGATGAAATACTACATTTAGTAAGGAATTATAAGCCAAATAAAATAAAAACATCTGCCCTGAAGATAAGGATAATGCTGACAGATCAACTTCCAATTCATTGCGCGCGCGAAAACTTTTGTTACAACCAGATATTTTTTGCTCGTTACATTAATATTACTTTGATGGCCAAAGAATCAAAGTTATTCTAAAAAATATTACAAATTTGGTTACAGAAGATGCTATCTTGTTACAATTCCATTAAAAGGACCGTAAAAAATCACCTAGCTACTGTTGATGCCAATGCTGCCAAAAATAATTACGCTAACCCTAACCAAAGAAAGGAAGAATGATCTAAGATTACTAATGATCTAAGTAAATAACTATCTAAGATTATTGTTTTAGTTTAGATGAAAGGTTAATTTCAAGTAAATACATTTTTTTTTGTTATTATAATTTATAAACAAAAGGCCAAACATAACTGAAATTAAACGGGATATATAAATTTTTTTATGTCTTCCAACACAGCAGAGAATATTTCAGTTTTTTTGTGCAAGCATCTGAACATAAAACACGGACAAAAAATAATCGAAATGCTGTCGAGCAGTGTGACTTACGCCATTTAGCACTGCCCCACACTCTTTGTCTATGACACCCACTTTGGGGTCACAAAATTGTAGTTGTGATTGACAGTAAAATGTTCAAAACCAGCATTTTGCAGTCAGTATAAAAAATGTTTCCTTCTGCGATATTTCCTTTTATGACATTCAATAAAGTTTTCGTCGATCGTTCTAGAACAGCGATTAAGAAGAAATTCAATTCTCAGCATAATCCACCAAAAATACTTGGTGGCGGAAGAAGCCGTCCAATGTTATTCTTTCTTCTACTGAAAAGGTTTCATCTACTTCAATAATTTTGCCCCATCTGCCAATTTTCAAGTTTAGGCCGAGTAAATAAAGTTGCGGCACACACCTCACGCATGTTCCAGTCTACAGTTGTATTGTGCTTCATCTTCAGCTGGAATTCACAAAATTCAATAGATGTCATCTCCTGACACCAAAAATAGATGAACCTAATGGTTGTAAGGAATGGGATTTTCGATCCTTTGAACCAATTTTGACTTCTTAATCCTTTCTTCTCATTACAGGTTTCTTTCCTGCATGGCCATTTCGCTACTGAGTTACCGCTAAAGCATAATTTTATTATCTCGTGGTTGTTCGAACATAATTTTCTATCATGAATGATGCCTGTTCTTTGAAAAAATTCTATTGCAGATTTTTCCTCATTGGGCAATTCCCAAATTGTTAAATCCATAGCGTTATTAGAAAAGAGTTAAAACATTAAACTAGCATTTCAATGGCGACTTATATAGAACTATCTAAATTTACACACTTCAGCACATTCGCTAGATTTATCGCTCGGTTAAATGAGTACATTTGCTAGATTTGCCGCTTTTGCGCATATATTTTCGCTGCGATTTTTTACGGTCCCTAAAAGTTTAGTACCCTTGTCTTTAATAACTTGAATTGTAGGAAATTCCCAATCATAAAAGTGAAACAGCTTATCAAAAAATAAAATGACCAGATTATAAAACTATTGATTACCTCCTGGAACTCAAAACAAATGCTGAAGTGAAAACCATATATAAAATGAATAATATTTGCCTAATCTTTGGAATATGGTAACAGGTAGTTTGGCAACATTTTGGTAAGGCGATAAAAGTTACTAGCTAGGACTTTAGCAGTGTACATGGATAAAGTCAAGAGTGTGCGCAATGCCATTTTTGTGCAATTCTGGGATTTTTTTAAGTGAAAATAGGTCGACGTGTACATGGATACCGTGTATGTACAACTCTTAAAAATGCGGCAAGCAGTTTGCAATTCTGCACTTTCTCCCAATTTCGCACCTAATCTTCGTCATGATTAAGCACTTTTGTTCTATAAAAGTTCTAGCATAAGCATAATTCGGCTAGCAGATTGTTGGGGGAAAAATTGTTGAGTAAAAAAAAAAAAAAAAAAAAAACATGCCTTGACTTCGTGAAAACAAATTGGCATCCAAACAAAAACTAGCAGGTTGCTGTAGCAGGGTTGGTCAGCCAAATTTTCGCCAAAAAATCACCAAGTTACCATAATCCAAAGATTAACCTAATACTTTTCATTTAAATTTTGCACTAAAAATAATGTCCAGTTCAATGCTTTATATATAAAGACTACAGCCAAAATAATATATCATTTATCCAACACATGCACCTTAGCATGATGAAAAACCTATACTTCATTTCTGCCAAAGCCATGTTAGATCTTAAGAACGCATAGTCATCAACAATATTTTAAAAATTACAGATTACTGAAAACAAAACAGTATTTCCAGGGCTGTGAATCTTAAAAAAAAAAAAAAAAAAAAAAAAAAAACCCTCAATGTTTAATTAAATTATTTCATACTAAGTACTTATATATGACAAATTGTATAAAATGTACTTACATATGACATGTACTTATAAAGTATATGACAAGTACAATGAATTTAAAATATTTAGGGGTGGTATCCTGAGAGTTCGGCCACCCGCATACTTCTACGCACTGCAACCTGCTAGGAACAGCTTTGAGTATCCCCAAAAAGGGAAGATTTCCCAACACTTACTACTGCTGCTAACAATCAAGAAAACAGCCACATCCCTGGTTCTGAATGACAAACTCAAGAAAAACGTCTCACCTGCAGAAGAAACTGCAATATTTTATTGATTTTCAAGGATCTCAAAGTTTTAAAATTAATAAGAAAAATCTCATGGATTATTACAAAAATAAAACACTCAGAGACTATAGCAGAAAAGATAACAGCAGCCTTTCAAACAGTACTGATTATGATAAGAGTTTGTAGTAGAAGATTAATTTGTGATACTAAGCAAGCATCGTTATATCTGAGCGGGTTTACTCATTATCACTGATGAGTTTATTCTTCATCATAAGTTTGGCTCACTCTTTACACATGCATCATGTATGGTTCATCTGTGCCTCGTGGTAATGTTCCCTTTTATTGGACTCTTAATCTTCAACCCAAAATTTTGATAGGGTAAGGGAATACATGAAATATATTAACAAAGGCTGCTACAGGTCAGACCACTTAATGAACGACGATCTCCGAACTATTGAAAGCAAATTCGCTTTGTGAGAACACATCATATCTTGTTCCTCGTCCCTACTAAAGTTATTTGTTATGTTGGTTCATTGGGTTTAATGGTGGCACCATCAATCGGTGCAAGATGCCACTGTTATTGTTGACTAGCATGGAACCAGTGAATTTCTGATTCATACACTTACAATTTGGCAAACAGACCAAAACGGCGCTTATGACCCATGGTTCAATACAGTATGTTTTCAGCTAGCAAGAGAGACAGCTACATATTATTACATACGCAAAATGTCAATATTCAATATACGTTAAATCAACGATTAGCAATGTTTTAAAAATACTTAAGTAATTACAAGGAATAATTTTGAAAAGTATAAGAAGTTAAAAAAAATTGTATGAACGTTTTCATCTAAAAATTGTTATCATAATCACCTTCTCCACTGTCAATTTCTTCCGATTAGAGAAGTGAAAAAGTTAGTGACAAACAGCTGTAGTCGTACGTCATCGCACGTCATAAAAATAAACAAAATGGTCGAAATTGTCTGCCGGTTGTACTGGAATACTAATAAATTTATCTAAAGATAATCGCAAAACCTGCATAAAAAATAAAAATCTATATTTTCTGTTAACTTTATCATAATTTATCGCACGTTTAATCTCCTATTAATTACTCTTGAATCACATCAATTTCCTTTCACGTGATTGGCTTATTATCGACACTGCGCAGTAGGAACATGCTTACCTTACAGCAGGATTAGTAGCGAAAAAATGGGAAGGGCTATTTCTTCGTTGTGTGTTTGACTTCCGCTCGGGTGTATTAAGCGAATGTTTAGGAAAAGTGCAAAATTGTTAATAAAGTTTAAAAAATGAACGACGATCAAGAAACATTAGAACCTTGGATCAGTTTATCAAACTGGGAACAGCAGTGCGTTGATGAAATAGAAAAGACCCCAGAAATTGAAGTTGAATTACAAAATGCTAAGGACAGAGCTGTACAGAAATTATTTTTTTTATTCCAAAATGCAGCCACATGCATTACACAGTTATATAAAGGTAAGAGAGTAAAAACAGAAGATAAATATTCTGTTTACAAAAGTTGCCGAACAAGTTTGAAATTTTGTTTATATAATTGTTCAAAAGGGTTAGCGCCACGTTCCGACCTTTTATCACAGTTTAGGTGGAGATGTTTATGTATTATATATCTTTAGTTCATAAATTTTGATTGTTTACCCATGTGTTATAATTTGTTTCAGACAAACAAACTGCGTTTTCACTGATTAACTACGTAACAAAATTTCATAATTTTGGTCGTGAGAGGAAAATTGGGAAGCATAATAAAGCTAATGTGTTACCCCTTATTTGTACAACTATGTGTTGGCCAAATAGAATATTCATTAATTAGCTTTGTTTTTAACAGTATATGTGGTCCGATGCGAGGCAGGCGTTCAAATTGACACTCTAGCAGTATATGTGGCTGCTGCGTTTTCTTTTATGTATTTAATTTTTATCAGATTACGTTTGAGATTTATGATTCATTAATGTAAAGTCTTTATTAAATCATTTGGCTAGGCCCTTTGATCAATTGACTAATGTTGTTCATCTGTTGATTAGGCTATTATTGCATGGCAGTGAATTTTGCCAGTTCATCAGAAAGTATCGATGAAATTTTTTATTAGTTTGGTGTAGAAAATTAATTACAGTTCATCATAATGTTATTCAGAAGGAATGATGCTGTGTGTGTGTTAATAATTTATAATAATGTAATTCAATTTTAGTGTTTTGTGTTATTTAATGTAAACAATCAGTTTTTCAGAATTTATCTGTGAAAAAATAGTCTCTTTTAAATGTTACGTTTCAGTAACAGCAGATTGCAACTTCACTGTTTGCATATATATTTTGTCCCGAGGTATAATAATTAAATATGTGAGGTTATAATGTGCTAGAATGTCATAAAAGCCAATATCAGGTAATCATCGAGAGGTATATAAAAGTTGTTAATTAAGAAATAATAAAAGTTGTTAATTAAGCTAGTGCAGAATGTGATGAAAAATTGCTGCCGGAGTAAGTCGTTTCCTGACGACAGTAATTTTTTGCATGAGATATAATTAGACATTTTTCTTAATGGTATCTGTAAGAATAGTTTTTTTATGAACAATATTACTTTTGTAAGCTTGAGTGAGTTTCAGTTCCCTTTATAACTTGCAGGTTGAATCGAAATTCTAGTTTTCGCCATTTTTTGTTTAATGGCTGCTGCATAATACTTAATATAACATATGTTATCCTGACCTTCAAAGTAACCAATATCATGAATTAGTATGACAGATTCGGTCTTTGTCTGATGCACCTCCCATCTGATGACTCTCGTCTCTCACAGTGGGCCTGTAATTTGGCAGGTCAATTATGCTACCAGGTTTCTTAAATTTTTTCATAGAAATTTTGGTTGATCTTTAAATTATGGTAACTTGGCAATTTTTTGGCGACCAACTCTGCTACACCAACCCCCTATTTTTTTTTTTTTTTTTTGCCGCCACTTATGCTAGAAATTTTACGGAACAAAACTGCTTAATCATGACAAATATTAACTGCAAAATTGGGAAAAAGTGCAGAATCGCAAACTCCATGCCGTGTTTTTCAAAATCGCGCATACACAGTAACCATGTACACGTCGACTTATTTTTACTTAAAAAAAATCCCAAAATTGCACAAAAATGGAATTGCGCACACTCTTGACTTTATCCATCTACACTGCTATTTTCTCATAAATTACAAAAATTTTGTGAATCTTTAAACTCGGTAAAAAGCACATGTATGAAATTACCTGATCGCGAAAAAGTATATACCCTATCTAAGGATGAACATTTCCACATATAATATAAATAAAATATCCAAAAACTTTTACCTCTAAATTATCTATTATAAACGTCACCAACGAATTCATAACAAAACATTAAAAATGGTTACAAATACTTAGTGTCAAATATTTAAATTATTTCCATGCACGTTTACTTCCACTCAAACATATACCAAATTGCTACAAACATATAATTCACAAATTAACTATCATTTAAGTAAAATATAATTAAACCATGTACACGTCGACTTATTTTTACTTAAAAAAACATCCCAGAATTGCACAAAAATGGCATTGCGCACGCACACTCTTGACGTTATCCATCTACACTGCTTTTTTCTCATAAATTAGAAAAATTTCACGAAAATGCATGAAAATTTTGTAAATCTTTAAATTCCGTAAAAAGGACATATGTGAAATTACCTGATCGCGAAAAGTATATACCCTTTCCAAAGATGGATGTTTGCATGTATAAAATAAATAAAATATCCAAAATCTTTTAACTCCAAATTATCTATTATAAACGTCACCAACAAATTTATAATAAAACATTAAAAATGATTACAAATACTTAGTGTCAAATACTTAAATTCTTTCCATGCACATTTACTTCTACTCAAAAAGTATTCCAAAATACTACAACAAAATATAACTCTCAAAATCATGATCATTAAATTAAAATAATTAAATTAGAAAACACTACTTAAAATATAAATAAGCACATACATTAAATTAATAAAAATTAGCTTACAATCCTAATTACTTTAAACTAAATCATTGCTAATAACAATTTTCCAATAATACCATATTAATTTATTTACTCCTTACATTTAGAACAATGCATAAAATTAATATCCTCAAATAATTAAAAATACTAACTTACCTAATCTTCTACAGAATCTTGAGTGCATGGCGGATCACAAAATGTCCATTTTCACCAGGTTTCTTACACCGCCATTCAAACTATCTGTAATATTCTTCCTTTCACACAATCTCATTTCATTCCCACATATTGGACATTCATACTTATCTGCAATTAAGCAATTCTTTTCAATTACACATAAACGTAATAAAAATTTCAGATTTACTTTATATATGGCTATGGAATCCAAATATTAAACAACACTGTTTCACAGAACATAGAAATAAAACTACTGCTATAAAGTACAGCAGATATTTTTACAAATATACCTCCTTTTCCGATTAAAGAACAGTGATTCGTCCATTAATGTCACATGACATATCTCATGATCTCTAATTTTCCTCACAAAAAATAATGTGTAATCGGAACTGAGTACTTCTCGCATTATTCCCAAAGTCCTAGGTAGTAACCTTCATCGCCTCCAAAATGTCGCCAAACTACCTGTTACCATATTCCAAAGATCAGCCGAAATTTCTGATGCTCCTAACATCGGGAGTATTGCATCCATGCAAAATGTTAAACCGCCATTGATGGGAGATAATTATTTCAAATGGTTAGGGAAGCCTACTGTGATACTGAATGGTCTGAGTTCGAATCCCGGATGTTTGTAAGTGTATAATGTCCAAGGCATGGATGTTTGTAAGTTATAATGTCCAAGGCATGGATGTTTGTAAGTTATAATGTCCAAGGCATGGATGTTTGTAAGTTATAATGTCCAAGGCATGGATGTTTGTAAGTTATAACGTCCAAGGCATGGATGTTTGTAAGTGTAAAATATCTGTGTCTCTAAATAAGCTTCAAGATTAAATTCCTCTCGAGAATTTTATGGTAGGGGAGGGAGACACTCGGATACATCCCCCGAGGTATGGGGACGGAACTAAACAAAGTCATACTGTCACCTGTATGGTGCTCAAGATTCTTGCCGAGTGTCTTGCTGTCCTTGTCATGATGAATTTCGTGGGCTTGTTTCGATGTCACTCTCATTCAAGTGAGATAGTTACAACACAACACACACTTATATTTTCCCTTTCATGGACATCATTAATTATTAACTATATCTTGATGCCATCAACTGCATGATACAAAAATTATAATACAGTACAATGTCCGAAATAGACTTGTCCGGAGTTCGCCGATTCCGGATATTAGATCATCAGTTAAAATCTGGTAAGATGGCATGTATAAATTATAAAATTAAAAATATGAAATTGTGATTATGAAATAATAAGTAATTATGATCTAAGGGTATCAAATTGCAAAAAGAAAAAAAAAAAAAAAAAATATTTATTTGTTTAACATATTAAATTTTTTCAATGTAAGTTGCTTCTTTTTTGAGCTAATTCTCTTTAATTCTCGGCAGACATAATCTCTTCCTCAGTTCATGTTTAAGCCGTAACTGCGTTCGAGAATTCTGACTAACTTGTCAATCGAAATTTTTCGTTTTCAGTAACTTCTTTGTCACTTTCTTCACTATCGTTAGCGGTAATTTTTGGATCTAGAACCATACTACAGATTTTGCCATTCATTAATTGATTGATGATTTAGAAGCATTGTCATAACAATGAAAAACTTTTTTTATATCATCTTTATTTATTACCATTTCTCCAAATTTCTTTACAAAATCTGTTAATTGGAAAATTTCACCTATTTTTTGCGAACCGAAAACCTTTAAAATTAGCGGCTGAATTGTATTAGTTATTTATTATACTTATGTCTGTTTCTTGCACACACTTAAGGCTTATCAGTGTTCTGAGTAAATAAATTCTTGCATATACTTAAGCTTTGAGGGACGACGCCACACTTCACGACAAGCTAACCTGAGAACACATACAAGGCTAGAACGACCTTTTCACGGCTTTTCACCCTGTTCTTCAAGTTATCCATGCACACCAAACCACCCGCGGAAATTTAATTCCTTCAATTCGCTACACATTTCCAGCGTATTTTTAAAATCTTTTATTGATAAACTGCAGTTGAAATTGTAGTTCTTGAGTGTAAAATGTAGGGCAGTTATGTCTTAATTATATGAAATTTTTCACTGTAATTTAAATATGACGATACAAATTTGATGACATTAAAGAATCATTATAAAACTGAAACGTAAGAGCTAAGAATGTATTCCTTGTAGTTTGAGTTAAATTTTTTTCCCAAAGTGTCGCTAGTTCAAGTAAATTATAATTTAGAAAATCTGGTGGAGTTATTTTCTTTATTTTTAACGGACCAGAAAAGTAGATTTTTATTTCAAAGATGTTAAGTTGATTTCCGATTAGAAAAGCTTGA